TATACTTATATATACATATAAACATATTTGTATATGTATGTGTGTGTGTTTGTATTGATGACGCGTAATGCTTGTTTATGTGTATGTGTAAGTGTATGTGTATGATTGTATGAGAGGATCTCTTAATACATGTGGCATGGCCAAACAGCTGCGCCGTCGCCTTTCCCACGCCTTTCACTGCTTAATTTTTGTTTTCCAAGCCCAGCGGCATGCGTTGCTGTTGTGATTGGCGCGAATTGATGTAGCCCCCGCTACCGTTACCTGGTCCTCCGCCGCCCGTGTTGCGTGAGCGATCGCCCATGGGCCGCCCGAAGGATCCATTGCCGTTGCGCTGATTGCCACCACGCTGGCTGCGATAGGAACCGCTGCCCGACGAATCATAGCGTGACTCCTTATTATAAACACCGCCACCCCCGTTCTGGTAGTAGTTTCCACCGCCACCACCACCACTGCCGCCGCCRCCGCCTCCACCGCTTCCGCCGCCACTCGACTCGTTATTGCGGAAATAGACGCCGCTATTGCGTCCATTCTGCTGGGCCGAGGAGTTACCATATTGTCGAGAGCGATAGTTACCGCCGCCGTTACGACCACGATCATCGCCGCCACCACCGTTGCGACGCTGCTGATAGTTGCCAGAGTTGCGACGCATCTGGTTGCCATTGTCCTGCTGCGAGGAGTTCCAATGATTGTTGCCGCTGTCGTTCTCATTGACATAGCCACCGCGACCGCTGCTATTGTCGCGTGGAGTTGCCCACTCCTGCTTGTTGCTGTTGCTGCTGTTGCTGCCATTCGAGGCGGCGCTGCTCATCGCATTCATTTCGCTGCTCCACTTGTTGCTGGACGTTGGAGTTGCCTGCTCGGCCAGCGCCGATGATTGGGTCTTCAGTACATTGGTCAATGCGGCTGTGGCAGCTGCATTGGTATCATTTACGCCTCCACGTCCATGCCAGTCATTAGAATCTACATCATTAGCAGGCTGCTGTTGCAACGGATGCTGCTGCTGCTGCTGCTGCTGTTGTTGCTGCTCCTCGATCTGTTGCTTCTGTGGCTGTGGCTTCAGTCCCAATTGCTGCTGCAGTTGCTGCTCGTAGCTGACAACTGCGGCGTCATATGGAAACACGGCAGTCACATCGCCTGGCTGCATGCCAATACCCTGAGGTGGCTGTGGAGCCGCCTGCTGCTGCTGTTGTTGCTGCTGTTGCTGCTGCTGTGTCGCCAAGCGTGCCATGATGAGCATCGGAGGCTGCTGCTGTTGTTGGCGCTGTTGCTCATGAATCAGAACAGGYGAGAAAAGTTGCTGCTGCTGCGGCTGCTGCTGCTGTGGTGGTGGTGGCTGTGACGGCGGCTGCTGCGGCTGCTGCAAGGACGGGAAGGACTGATTGGTAAAGGTCAGGGTTGTAATGGTTTGCGGCTCATCTACATGATTCTGCTGCTGCTGTTGCTCAAAGACTAAGCCTTGCACCTGCAGCTGTTGTGGTGGCGGTGCCTGCTGCTGCTGCTGTTGTTGGTGCTGCTGCTGCTGCTGCTGTTGTTGGTGCTGCTGCTGCTGCTGCTGCTGTGGCGGCAGCACATCCGGAGCATCCAATTCGCTGTCCTGCAGAAAGTGGAAGCTGCCGGTGCCCAGTACCTCGGCCAGGGGACGCAACTGCTGCATAAACTGTTGTTGCTGCTGGGGCGTGGGCGCCTGCAGAGCAGCAGCTGCCTGTGGAGGCTGCAGCGGCGGCTGCTTGAAGTAATTGTGCTCCACAGCGCGCACGGTCGTGGGTCCAAAGTGCTGTTGYTGTTGTTGCTGCTGCTGAGTAGGCACTGATGGCGCAGCGGCAACGCCCGCCTGGGGCGGCTGCGACTGCGGCACACCGTGCAAGGCCTGGAGATTCACGGGGCTACTGAGCAACTGATGGGGATGCTGACCTGGCGGAGGCACATGCGTTGCCTGAGTTGCCGCTGATGCGTACATTATGTGCACCGGCGTGGTGTTGCTCGCCGGTGCAGCTGCAGTTGCAGAGGCAGCATTATACACACCAGGCTGCTGTTGCTGTTGCACCAGCAACTGTTGCTGCTGCTGCTGCGGATCGACAACGGGCGCACGCTGATGCTGCGGCTCAAGCAACAGATGACCACGTTCCGGCTGTTGCAGATCAGGCAGTACAGTTCCCGCCTCGGAGGTGGTCAGCTTGTCCAAGCCTTCCTCCAGCGAATTATGAGCCGAGGGTTCCGACATAGGCACATCGTGATCACCTGCAATGCCCGCCACATCATTGAGCATAGTCTCGCCCTCACCACTCACTGTGCCGCTGTCTGTGCAGTTACCCTGCACACTCTGATCCGCCAGTGGAATCAAATAGTACTTGTCCAAGTAGCCACAGTCCTGGATCTGTTGAAAGAGCGCACGCAGTTTCTCAAATGTCGTATCACCGTACGGCTTAGCTCGAGCATTGATGGTCATGGCAAAGAGTTCGGCTGCCTTTTGAGCGGTTGCCAGGAAACTGACATCCTCAGCAATCTCCGGTCGACGCGTTTGCACATCCATGCAGCTATATTACAGAGCATAAATTAAGAATTTTATGAATTACTAAATATATAGACAATAAATTTAAAAAGTATATATATAATAGCATACATATTAAACCATTCAACTTTATGTACATATATTATAGAGTATAAATTAAAGGCTTTCATGAGTCACTAAATGTATATATAAACTTGGAATTCACTCAAATATATAAAAATATGACATTAATAGTTGTAGTTCTAGACTCTAGCAGCAACTTCCGGAACTATTCTTTATAGATTATATCAAATTTTCTATATTAAAAACATTGTTAACCTGATTTTATAAATTATATATTATATAAATAAAAAAAAAAAAAAAAAAAACACTAATTGATAGTGTCTACCTAGGGATTCTTAGCCAGCTCATCACAAATTATCAAAACAGTTCTACTCGTATTAATTACAGCTGTACTAAAAATTAGACTATCAAGAACAATTATATTAACAATTATAGTGACTCCGTTCAAGTACATATGAATTTATGGCGTCAACAGAAAATTGAAGTATATTCCCCACCTATATACATATATATTTGGTATTAATTTTTGGATAACCACTTACAACTTCTCAATCACTTCCAAATCGGCGATCTCCAGCTTGCAGGCACCATTTTCTCCGGCCACGAAATCATTGCGCACCTGCTCATCGTTGAAGCAGCTGAGAACGTTTTGCATGACCAAGAGCTCGCGAATCTTGGCAATCTCCGCCAGCGATTTAGCCTGGTTATCCTACACACACAATGCATTCAATGTCGTATTTATATTTATACTTGTGTTGCACTTTACATTTATTTCGTTCAATTTGGGATGACTCAACGTACCTTGCGAGCTTGTTTCTTCTGTTCCTTTTCGGCTTCCTTAAACATCTGCTGCGTTTGCTTGGAGAAGTCTCGAGCGAATTCAAGAGTTGCGAGGACTGAATCATATTTGGCCACGGCCGCCCCTTGGTCGGCGCTAAGTTCCTTGCCGCCAGCTTGGATGGCTCGGTACGACTCCAATTTGGTCTGTATGCGTGACAAGAGTTTTGGGGTGAGTCACGGTTTGCAAAATACAAAACATTTGCGGCGCTTCATTTTCTCAATATTTGGTTTTATTTCATAAAACAAACAAAATGCAAAACGAAACCAAAAGTAATGCGATTGCTCACATGCGGAACCAAAGTTGCCAAAGTTACCAGATCAAGCGCCGGCGCGTTTTAACTGTTTATTTTTTGTTATTACATCAGTCCATAATTAAACAGCATATACAATTTTATAAAACTACAATTTTTATAAAAATGTTCTTAAAAAAAAAAAAAACAATAGTTTCTTTTCAGCCAAAGGCAAAATAAAATATTTAAGTTTATAGAAACTCTTATTGGTCTGGCAACTCTGTGAGATAGCAAACATGGCGTCGCGAAAAATCTGCGAGCACAAGGGGGAAACAGCACGACAAAAAAGCAAACGAAACAAAGCGGCCCACAAACGAAAATAAAAATGGTGGGCAATGCCTGCAGTGTTAGGTGCCTTATTTTTTTTTTTCTTACATTTTGTGCACTTACCTTACGCTTTTCCAAATTGCGAATCTTGTGCTCAATGGTTACCAGAATTTGCTTCATCGGGTTGTACGGTTCGGTAGCCGCGTTAGCAGCGACAGCCGACAGTTTCAGCGCTTTGGCATTGACGTTAGTGTTGTTGTTAGTTAAATCAGTTTGGCTACTTCCGCTGCCTGGCGCTACTCCCGTTGCCGCAACAGACTTGGCACTGTCAGCAAGATTAGTATTACTGCTGTGCTGTCCGTTGCTTGCGTTACCATTGTTGCAGCCGCCACCACCCACGCCGCCGCCGACGACGCTGCTAGCACCGATGGAGCTGACCGAGGCGCGTTTCTCCTTGCTATTGTTGTTGGTGTTGGTGAATGTGGTAGCAGCCGAAGGCATTGTTTGCCGTGTGTTCTTCTGGTTGCTTACTACTTTTACAATAAATTAGGAATGAAATTGAAACTGCTGCCTTGTCCTGCCGTTCTTTTTGTTCTTCGAAAAACTTGGGGATGGCTAAAAATATATAGATATGTATCGATACATCGATAGGTAAAATATCACTGTCCAACATACAATACGTCAAGCTAACTATTGCATGCTGCTATTTCCATTTGGACAATCGCGTTGCACAATAATCGAATATCTTCAATATTTTGAGAAGTCAACATGCGCTTTTAGAACTGCTTGTTATATTTTCCATCAATCAATTGAAAATTATTTCAAAGTAAATGTTCAACTTATTAAAATATGTCATCCCATTTTAAAAGATGCTTATATATCCAAGTACAGCTTTTCGAATATATTGACACATTTTTGACATATTAAATATGTTACGATATTTCTACGTTGCTTGAACAAATGCGCCACAAAAGCTTTGCTACTTCTACACTGGGTAGCGAAACCACTAACTTTAAATTAATTATTAGTGCCAGCAGACAAGACTTTTAACTCAAAAAATACGACATGACTGCTAGATTAATACATCATATTTTGAATACTTGTCCCGCTGCCATCCGTTACTACTCGTCTGCTGTCAAAAGAGTTACTCTTATTCCTGGTGATGGCATTGGTCCCGAAATAACATCCTCTGTGATAAAAATCTTCTCTGCCGCCGATGTGCCCATCGAATGGGAGCCTGTTGATGTGAAGCCAGTGATTAAAGACAATGCCAAATGCGGAATACCTCAGGAAGTTATCGATTCTATCAACAAAACCAAGGTGGGCCTCAAAGGCCCGTTAGAGACGCCACTATGCCACGGACATGAATCGATTAATTTGGCCATGCGTAAGCATTTCCAATTGTTTGCCAATGTACGTCCCTGCCGCAGTGTGCCTGGCTATAAGACAGCCTACGACGACGTTAATGTGGTCACCATACGGGAGAATACGGAGGGCGAATATTCCGGCATCGAGCATGAGGTAGTGAGTGGCGTTGTGCAGAGCATAAAACTGATCACGCAAAAGGCCTCCACCCGCATTGGAAAGTACGCCTTCGAATATGCCAAGAACAACAATCGCAAAAAGGTGACCGTCGTACACAAGGCTAATATAATGCGGATGTCGGACGGCTTGTTTCTGCGTTGCGTGCGAGATGTGTCGAATGAATATCCAGAAATCCAGTTCAGTGAGTGTCATCTGGACACGGTTTGTCTCAGAATGGCGAATAGCCCCGATAATTTCGATGTCCTAGTCATGCCGAATTTATACGGCGACATTTTATCTGATATGTGCGCCGGTCTGATCGGTGGCCTCGGACTGACCCCATCTGGAAACATGGGCCTAAACGGTGCTCTGTTTGAATCGGTGCATGGAACTGCTCCAAATTTAGCTGGAAAGGATTTGGCCAACCCCACTGCTCTGCTGCTGTCAGCAGTCATGATGTTGCGCCACTTACAGCTGAAAGAATATGCTGATAAGATCGAGCGAGCTGTTCTCGAAACCATTAAGGAGGGTCGATGGATAACTGCAGATTTAGGTGGACGAGCGAAATGTTCAGAGTTCACAAATGAAATTTGTGTTAAGCTTTAATGGAATTCTAAAGAATGCGGTTGTTGGCGCAACATGGCCTTTTAGCAATTTCAATCCAAATCGCATGTGATCCATGATTCAATTACATTTTCCAAATATATGTAACTTGTTAAAATTTGTTGTATTTTGGAATCATTTTTCAGTGTTATCTTTTCGTATCGCTTGTTTGTATACGTTACATTCATTTAATTTAAGCATCATATTTTATATTTAAGAAGTGCATTGTGTAACGTATGTTTATATTTGAACATTTTCGATTACATATTGTATCGATTGCTTTTTAATTGGCCCAATATGACATACATACCGATAGTTTGCAATTTTTGAGCTCAATCAATTCTGTTTGGCGGTAGATGGCGCTACATCACTCAGTGCGCGCGTATTCAAACGTAGTTTATGTCCATAAGGCAAAAATTTATATAAATTACTTTACTCAAACTACGTCCGACAAGACAGCAAGAGAATAGGCTCGAACTTAAAAGTAGTGTTTTGTTTTTATTTATATTGTATAGATTTATTGGTAAGTTATAGAGTTAAACAATCTAAAATGTTAAACTTTTCATTGTCCGTATTTAAGGCAAGTTGTCCGTTGCGAAGATCGCATATAATTCCGTTTTATCTGCCTCGTTCATATCATTCAGATATATAAATGTTGTTTCCTTGCTTTAACATAAATGCTTTGCTTAAAGTTAAATCAGCTTAAGTACAATAAATGGTTAGATTATAACATTTTGATTTCAGTAATCGCAAACACAAGTTTTTCAACCAGTAAAGGCTTTAAGCCTATTGCCAGCCGCTCAACAAGATGGGCGATATGTTTTTCGTTTTCTGTTTTTGATTTTTTGTTTTATCTTAAACAAATTAAATGGTAAGCTAACATGGATAGGAAAGAGGGGGAGAGAGAGCGAGATTGTGTTAAGAAAATTTGTGTACAGAAATATTGTTTAAACATAGGTACGAGAGTACAATTACAATAATACATTATGTCTTTAAGATTAATAAAGCGTAATTAAAAAGATTTCACTACAAAACCAAAGAAGGTCGCATCATTACAATATACATACAAATTACAACAAATACATACGTACATGCATACGTAAATATATATATATGCTAAGGCTCTTTTGTGTATAAATATTAAAAATATATGTATGTATATATATTTAGTTGATCCTTCCTACATTAAGAATATAAGAGTTGCATAGATCTTCCAGCGTGTTGTTAAGTTTGCCCAACTAGCGCTGAAATAAACTCCACAGTTTGTAGCTGGAGACCCGCTTGGCCAACTGGGCTGCCGTGCTGCTGGGCGCCGTCGTCGTCGTCTCGGCGGACTGGGCGTTGCGACGGTTGTTAATTAGTTTGGAGCGCATCTGCTCATCGATCAGCTCCTGCATGTCCATTTGCCATTGCTCGAGCTGCTGCGACAGCTCCACCTTCTGCTGAATGGACTCCAGCAGTTGACTGTTGGCCTGCATCAGCTCGACGCGCGTCTTGGCCAGCTCCACCTCGGCCTTGGTGCGACGCTCGTTCGCCGCATCGCGTTCCTTTTGCGCCTTGGTCAGCAGCTCATCGCGATCGGTGTTGTCAACGAGATCGCCACGTGCCTGATCGCGCTCCTCTTTCACATTCTGCAACTCCACATCCGTCACCGTGACTTTAGCCTCCAGCTGCTGTATAAGCTGATGGCTGCGCTTGATCTCGTCTTCCTGCTCCAGCACTAGATTGCGTGTCTGGTCCAGCATTTTCTTAAAGTTGCCCGCATCCAAGTTAAGCAGCAATCGCGTCAGCTCATCCGACATGGCTGACAGCATGCCCTGCCGGAACTCAATGGCCATATGATCGCTGTCATTGCGCTCTGTGCTGGACATCGTGTTGTCCATCGACTCCAGATCCAGCGATATATCAGAATTGAGACCTGCGTAGTTAACAGAGGTGCCTATTGTTGAGCAAAGATTTCGTAAGCAATTAAACTGACTTACCTGAGTCATCATCGTGGCCCACTTTAAGCGAGTCCACAAGGGATTTCAGCTGTATATAAACAGAACGCGCCTCTATCCACATTTGGCTAGGCTTGCCGGATTCCGAGAAGCTGGCCTCCTCCTCATCGCACTCCATTTCGAATTGTAGACTCTTTTTACCCGGCGTACTCGAGTTGGCGTCCTGCAGTAAATGGAAAAAACACACTAAATATGAATACAAATATAGATTTATGTTTTGAGCAGTTCAAACGATCACTGGATATGTAATGTATATCGATATCTTACAATAATTTCCCAAATTTAAATTTTGGTACGATAACATTATACGAGCCGTTAGAGGGCGACCGCTGTTAAGTGCCATGTAGGCGCTTGTTCAAATTACTTAATATACTTCAAATTAGTCAACAAATGGTGATCTTAAATGGATATTTTAATGTTTTACTGCAAAGAGAAACTTACCGCACCCAAGCGCTCGCTAAGCACATTATTCTCACGCTGAGAACGTTCCAATGCTTGTAAGGTGGTCTGTAAATATGTAATAATAGTTCAGTTTAGATTTAAGACAAGGCAAAAGACAATAATTTATAGATCGAAACTCTTAACTTATCATAATAACGAAAATAAAGTGCAAAAGAAAGTTGCTCGCTCATAGATAAGTTGAGCACTTGAGAAACTGCGCAGTTTGTTCTTTGAAGCGACATAAATAATCAGACAATTTGAAAATCACGATTTCTCTTTCTTTTAAATTTATAATGAAATAGACGTGATAACGAACATATTGCGATTGCTTCCTGAGCTCACCTCTAATTTTGTTTCCTGCTCGCGGGCATGTCGTTCCAGCATGTGAATGCGGTCCGAGGCCTCCTCCAGCGATGAGGTGAGACTCTCCTTCTCCTCCTGGGCGTGCTGCAGACGACGCTCCAGTTCCTGGCGTTTGCCTGTGGTGAGGTTTAGTTCGGTTTTGATAGACTCCAGGCTGTTGACATGTTCCTGCGAACAAAATACGCTTAATCAATTGGAATTGGAGATGCTTAGTCAATGGCTTACCTGAAGGCTGCTGTTCCTGTAGTGATATTGGTCCTTGAGCTCCTGAATCTGTGCACTGAGCTTCATTTCGGTGGCATGTGCTTCCTGTATCTGTTCGGTCAAGCGTGTATTCTGATGCTGCAGCTCATCGATTAGTATGGTCTTTTCCTTTTCCGCTTGCCTGATGGCCGCATCCTGTGTCTGCAGCTTGTCCTTCAGCTCGTTGAGATCTGACTGCAGCTCGAGCACACGTTGATCGCTCTCATCTTCCGCTATGGCTAGCTTCTGGCGCAGCACATGCTTCTCCTGCTCAAGTTTCTGTAAATGAACGGAGCAAAGCGAATGGAAAGTTAATTAAATGCAGAGATATCAACTAATTGTTTGTTCTATGACTCGTCAGCAATTGCTGAAACAAGCAGCAGCGAAAGTAAGTGAAGTAAACAATGTGCACGTACCCAGCACAAAAAATAAAACACCAACAAATAACAAAGGCAACCGCAAGGTTAACACAGCTCGACAGGTAATTGCACAGGTAACATTTGCATTTTCAACTCTTTTATTCAGCTACAGCTACAGCCGCGGCAGCAGCAAGCAAAGAGCTACAAACCTTATCGAATAGCATCCTAAAACAAAACTTAATTATAATAATTGCCTCAACATCTTTTTTGAAATGGTTGAAGTGGGAAAAGCAAAATTATTCATTCAGTAAAGTATTTAAGAAATTCGTCCCATCAAAAATATATGTAAAGACCTTTTTTTTTACATATTACTTTCGATACAAGCGCATTTTGCAACCGCCTTGGTACCACTGTGCGCAGGAAAATCTTCAGCTCTCCATCAACAATGGCGCCTTGGCTCTTGACACCGTTGCAAGACAAGGTAGCCACAAAATTCACATCATTCAACATTCAACATTCAAATGCAATTGAATTTTCACTTCTTTTGCGGCGCATCTTATCCATTGGTTGAGCAAATTCGCCTTCAGCTATAGCCACAGTGTCGAATAGCTGCAGCTGAAGGCATCGCGGCTTTAACAGGCAATTATTTACATTAAGTTGAGCTCCGATAGACCTGCTTAGGCGATAACAATCGCACTCACCAGCTCAAACAGCCGGCACATTTCTAATGATGCATTAATCATCGATAATCCAAGGGCCACTTCTAAGTAAGCTAAAAAGCTTTCGATTGTTCAATTTCAGTTTCAAATTCAATTATTCATAATTTAAATTTGCATAATGGGCAAGTAATAGTGCTCTGCGCTCGTAATTGCCAAGCGGCGTATAGAGAGTTCACCGTTTTTGGATCAAGGTTTGTGGCGACATTGAAAAATTGCATGCAAAAGTTTAATCAATATGTGAACCTTCAATTGACATAGAATAAACGTAAACGAATATGTCAGCAAGCAAAATCGTTATTTATGTAAATAAATTTCGCGATTGCATTGAAGAAGACGTACGTAAAAGTTTTATCTGCCAACTCCATGCGGAAAATGCGCTGCAAACACGTATTTTAAAAGCAAGCAATAAATATGAGAAGTCAGCGCGGTTTGCCTATCAGCAAAAACCAAAAATAATCTTCGCAGCTAATAAAATGGAGCGACAAAACAGTAAATGAAAAGCTTTAAACAAAATTACCGGTAATTTGCATAAAATGCGACGATGCGGCCAAAAAAATAAACCACAAAAATTGCAGTAATTGTATTATTGTTACTGTTGTTGTTGCTGTTGGCTAAGAGGGCGACGCTCGGCTCGCGCCTAAGCAATGCAATTGCAGCAGAAAGAAGAAAACTGCAGCCAGACAATGGAAAACGTTAGTAACAAAATAAAGAAAAATGAAAAAAAAAAAAAAACCAACTGCAAAACAGGCGGGCAAGCCACTGCACTGACAGTTGCCAGATAAATAAAACAATACAAAGTGAGAGAGAAGACGCAAAATAAAAAATAAAAAATAAAAAAATTATTGTACATACTTTCTCTGTTTCTATTTCACGCTCAATGAAATGTGTTGATGATGGCTGCGACGATGCACAGTGGAGCCGTACGCAAAAAAAAGGCGACAAGTATCGAAATT